TAGGAACTGAATTCATTCTTTCCTTCATTCAACAAATATCTTGTATGCTGACTTGGTGCCAAGCAGTATACTAGATGTCGGGGACACAGCAGTGAACTAGATTAGCCCTCAAGGAGCTTCCTGAGACCCTTGTCTGAGCTGATTGCTGAAGGAGTGGGGAGGGGTGGGGAGTAAGAGAGCAGCTTAGAGGTCTCCAGGCAGAGGGAATAATAATCATGAAACATTTTGTAAGCTGTGTGAGGGAGTCCTAACTACTCATAAGCCAGTGAAGACCAAGTAAAGGAAATATTTTAGAGAGGGAAGCGAAATAATCAAATCTGATTTCTGCAAAGAGGACTCTTAGGAAAGTGTAGTGAATGAATAGTTGGGACAAGACTGGAATTGGGAAACTAAGCAACTGTTGAGATCTTGTAAAGAGATGACCATGGTGGCCTGAGGTGAGTTTCAGTGAAATGGAAAGAAACAGACTGATTCAAGAGATATGTGGAGTGAAGAAAAGAAGGAACTGCTGATTGATTAGGTGCAGAGAGAAAGGAAGGGAGAAGAGGAGTCAAGGAGGACATTCAGGTTTCTACTTTGAGAAACTGGGTGGGTAGATGGTGGAACCATTCACTGAAATAGGAAATAGAGAAGAAATGGCATGTTTAGAGAACATTTTATGTGTCGTGTTTTAGATGTGTCAAGTTTTCAATGGCTGTATAATATCCAGGTGGAATAATCTAGAAGGTAGTTTGTGGATTTGGAGTTCAGGAGAATGATCAACCCAGAATCATTAGCATTGAAAGGATATGAATATACAGACTAAAGCCACCAAGAAAGCTCCAATATAGACAAACCAAGAGATACAGAAAACATGATCCCAATTCAGTAATAAACAAATGAATTTCATGCATATTACAGAATGAGGACTCAAAAGAGTAATGAAAGGTATACCTGTACACTTTGAAAATTCTGAAGTCTGCAAATAAAATATCACATCAGAATTTCTAGCTCTACTTCTGACTTGGAATAAGGGAGAGGGGCTTCTAAATACTGTGGGGAAAGGCAGTGGACATTAATTATGTTTTGAGTAAAATAAAGGAAAATTCATTAAAAGGAAGTTCATGACTTTTTATTCAGTCAGTATTTTGAAAAACAAATTAAAATGTCTGTAGCCACTTAGAGGAAGAAAGTGAGAGTTTTGACAAGCACATCAAAGCCTGCATAGAGGATAACCTAGGAAAGACTTGGAATCAGAAGTTTTAATAATGTGGCAAAATGTCTTATTTAAATTTGCCAGAAAAAGTATCAAGAATGATTCAAAGAGGACAAGGAAATAAGGCAGCATAGAAACGTTGTACAATGGCAAACTATGATGCCTGGGCCAAAGCCTGTTTTGGTAAATAAAGTTTTGCTGGAACACAGTCACACCCATTCGTTTCCATCTTGTCTGTGGCTGCTTTCGCACTATAATGGCAGAGTTGAATAGGTGCAACAGAGACTATAAGGCCCCTGAAGCCTAAAATATTGATTAACTGGCCCTGTACAAAGTTAAGTTTGCCAACCACTGTTAAAGTCCAGTGAAAGCCTAAGGAAAGACAAGAACATGTTTAAAAATGAGAATCAGAGCAATGATATTAAGGATTGAGTGGATGGAAGCAGAAGCTATATTACCTACTTTACAGCAAAGTACCACTTACATTGCAAAGCCTAAATGAAGAAAGAAAGGCTCTTAACTGGTCATTGAAATTATTATTCAGTGGTTTTGAACATTTCTAATTTTCTTTAGATTTTTTTTATGGTTAATTCTATTAGAGATGGCTTCTACGCCAATATAAATTTAAGCCAACCTAATATTCCTGAGACTTAAATGGACTCTCGATGATTTTGAGAAGCTATTCCACGAAGACAACTTTACTACAGTATGCATTTGGGCAAGTGGGTAATCAGCTTAGTTGTACTGGATAGCCCTGGCTATATAAGTACAAACAAAGAATGAAAAATATTTTTTCAAGTTATAGGGAGCCAGGATTCATAACCATCCGTCACTTGCTTGGGCAAGTTACTGATAAACTCTGCAGAAAAATAACAGACAGTGTGTCCCTGCATCTTGACTGTTGAAAATGAGATTCTTTCTCTGATTGATGTTAGCAGAGAGACTTGTAAAAATGCATTTCCAACTGATTAGTTCAGAAGGTGTCAATCTCATGCAGTTTTATGACCTGCAGACTACATACCAGCTGTACGTTTGCTTTTTATAAACTAACAAAGATGAATGACTAAATTTGAGCCTTCCTCTTTGGCGACTGTACCACATATTGCCTAAAGGAAGACACTGTGGGAGTATTGTGGGGGAGGAGAAGAGGACAAGAAGCCTTTAACCTTTAATTTAGAAGATTAATGGAGATAAGATAGAATATTTGGAAGCACTTTCTCCATTAAGTAGTGTCTACTTATATCATAAAATACATATCATAAAATACATATTGAAGCTTTCTCATGAAGTCTCAACATACAATCATAAATTGTTATTGAAAGGATTTTATTTCTTTTAATTGTTTTTTTGAAGCCAGAAATGATATTGGGGCAATAGGTCAATTGTCTACAACTTTAAAAATCTGAGTCTTAATAACTGTGCTTCTATTTCTTTGAGAGAGATGGAGGAAAAATACAATGTATTGCATTATTATAATATATCCTCATGAAAAATAAGCCTGGAGCATAGTTTCATCTTTTTTCCGCTAGAAATATTGAGAAATATTTAGACATTTTCCATCTTCTTGGCCTTTTGGCTAAGAAAGTAATATCTTGATAAATTTATATGAAGTTTCAAAGCTCAGTTTCATTTGATTTTCCTAAAACATCATTTTAAATTTTTGTCAAATAAGTAAATATGCAGCTTCAAATAATTAATAACTCATTTTTAAAAATGTAACAGGCATCTACATGAAAATGTAACTATAATCAGGAAACAATATGTAATAAGATCTGACTATCAGAAATTCCGACTCATACATTTTCATGAGTATAGAAATTGTAGCAACGAAAAATTAAAATATTAATGTAAAAAGAGTCAAACACCTTAAATTTAATTCCATTATTCACTTACTAAGTTTTTTTTTCCAACTATAAGGGAAATAATGAGGAGATTTTTAGTCACTTTCGCCGGATAAACTGAGTCTCTTGCAGTTGATTTCAAGTGACAGAAAATCCAACGCAAACAAGAGTGAGAAAGAAGGCAATGCGTCTAGAACTGAAAAGCCTAGGAAGTCAGGCGCAGCTTATTGCAAAAACCCCAAAGATGTCACTATGACCTGTTGTTTTTTATCTCCAGCTCTTAACTCTGCTTCTTCTGGGATGGCTCGATTCCCAGACAGGTTCTCCAGTAGTGGCAGCAAGATGGACGCGGCAACCCCAACCTTACAGCCTTACAGCTCCAAGCATGGGGGAGGGGTGGAGAGAGGAGAGAGTCTCTCTTCAGATAGTTCCTGAAATTGACCCTGGTTAGACAAATTAGGTCACGTGTACATTTCTGAGCCAAGCGTGAAGGGCAATACGCATGTAGACTGAGAGTTGAGGAGTGCTGGATACCCAAGGGAAAGTTAAGAGCTGTTGCCCAGACAAGGGAAATGGGTGTTAGCAGAAATCACAAGTGTTCAAGACATTCTTCTTCAGGTGGGCAAAATGACTTAAGGACACTGAGCCAAGCCCCTCATCTTGTTTTTTACATTACCTGTGTTGTTGTTGACCTGCTTCTAGACTGGGCAATGTAATTCAGTTTAATCTGCTTTCTTTTGTCTCAGTTTGCTGTCACATAATAAAAGGGCCAGCTTAGATTCTATTAATAAAGGTAGCCTAAAGCAAAAAAATGGCTAGTGTGGTTTTTTAAAAATAAAAGTTATTCAAAAACACTTGTGTAAAAACATATAGGTCAACCAGATATTTTTAGCTGAGTTTGTCATAATAGGGTCACACCAAGACCTGATATTTAGGTTTGAAGATTTTAAAGCCATTTTTTCATTTCCCCCAAGAGTGATTAAAGCCTTCAGAAATGAATGTTTTTATTAATCTGTACTAGGAGATGTAATTGCCAAGCAGATCAAAATTCGTATGGTCAGTGGTCAGTGAAATCAACTGGTCAGTGAAAGATGGCCTTAAGGGGTGATGTCATCAAGCCGTCATACCCTGCCTCTCTAATCCACTAATAGGTCGGTTTATATGTTTCAAACAAAATTTTCACATGGGCCATTGAATGTAATTTCTTCCTGATGTTCCTGGAGAAGGCACTGACACATTCTTTCTATCCATTACTGTTTTTGTGTCACTAACACTGTAGGTCAATTTTTCGTGATAGGTTTCTTATCATTTCCAATATTATGGCTTATTTCCATTTGCCACATTTTTATTAACACCTGCATTTGAGGGCAGGCATACTGAAGACTCAGGTTCCTGTTTAAAATTTGAGAAATGCCAGATTTTATTTGGAACACAGTTTACCTTCCTCGCGAGAACTATTTCCCTGAAAGGTGCTTGGCTAATCTCATCCGTATACTGTTTATTTGTATTTGCTTCATTTCACCAACTTTCGTTTTCTGACCCTTTCCAAATTTTAGAGCTTCACCCAGTGTAGGTACCTATCCATTTGCCATATACACTTACTATAACTCCTGGTCCGTTTTCTCTAAAATATGAAGGCTTGCGTAATTATAGTTACAACTAATCCATCTTCCTTCATATCACTGATAGATTGTTCTAATCAGTAATTTTTTATTTCTTACCCAGAATCAACATTATATGGTTCTTTTCAATCATCTCCAATCCAAATATTTTCTGTCTATGAAAGCAGCTGCAAGTATTGTATTTATATTTCATCTGGTTTCAAAAAGTATGCCTCGTAGAAATTACTCTCAGATGGGGGAGCGAATCATTTGATGTGAAAAACGCCAACCAACCAACAAAACTTGCCCTACATCACAGCATAAAAAGGGGAATTCTCTTACTGGCTTACATTTCTCTTACAGATGGACTCGTTGACTGCATGGATCCTGATTGCTGTTTACAAAGTTCTTGCCAAAACCAGCCGTACTGTCGTGGACTGCCTGATCCTCAGGATATCATTAGCCAGAGCTTACAATCACCGTCTCAGCAAGCTGCCAAATCCTTCTATGATCGAATCAGCTTTCTTATAGGATCTGATAGCACCCATGTTATACCTGGAGAAAGCCCTTTCAATAAGAGGTTAGTGCGTCTTTTCCTTTTATATATCTGTAGTGATATTATCAACAGTTATATGCACTTTATGTGAAATGCTGATGATTGTGCATTTGAGGAAAGTGCTTTTTTTTAATACAGTTTTTCCTCTTTCGGCAAATTCTTCACCAAACTTCACATTTCAACCATTTTTGACATAATTCGCATACTCTATCGATTTCAGTACCTGAGACGTAACAGGACATCCCATTAAGGAGTCAATAAATCTTCATTTAACTAGTTGATTTTGTTAGCACAGTTGGAAATGTTTCAAAAGGAGCAATGAAAAGACCCCAAAAGGCAAAACAGAAGTGCACTTTTTTTTTTTCTCAGAGCTCACTAAATAATATAAATTATGAACTAATGTAATGGAACTGCTAACGGCATGGCAGTCGGATTGTATAAGCTGTTTGGCGCTTTACGGAGCAGTAATGACTTGAAAATGAACCAGTAAGTGAAAGCAGGTGTCTTGTGTCTCACTGAGCAAAAGAAGACGATTTACACCCGAACGCCTGGGTCTGCAATAATTTAACTGCATTAATGCAGTCAGGCCCAGCAGTTGATCAAAAGTTGGTGCACAAATGTTCCTTATTACGCACTTAAATCTTGTACTTCTTGGTCCCTGCAGAGTTACAGATTGCCTCTGAATTAATTGTAAAGTTACTTTTCTTCATGTAAGCACCAGATATATGACTTATGAAAAAAACCACAGTTTGTAATTTAAAAAATTCATCTCTAAGTTATTGGTCTTGATAACTCTCCAAAAGTTAGACTGCAATGAATTAAAACCCAGGGTAAACACCAGGCATTTGGGGAATGTGAATTATACCTAATTAAAAGGGATATTGTCTTGCAAGTATTTCAGGTCTGGTTTTTGTGAGTAACAATTGATTGCGTGTGATCGTGGTGTTGTATCCTCAGGTTGAATTATCTCTAAATCATGATAATGTTGGCCTGAGAAGACTGCTGTTCATTCTAATTATTCTCCTCTTCCTCCAGCCTTGCATCCGTCATCAGAGGCCAAGTGCTAACTGCTGATGGAACTCCACTTATTGGAGTAAATGTCTCATTTTTCCACTACCCAGAATATGGATATACTATTACCCGCCAGGATGGAATGTGAGTTCATCCCAATGCGCTATCTCTGTTTGAAGTATTTTAAGTATAAAAACTAGTCGTTCTTATTTCACCCGGCACGTTTTATTATCCCCTTGAATATAGAAATGCAACAACTTCCAGACTCCAGAAATCTGTGACAGTACAGGTGGCAGAAATGTAAAGTCATATACTCATTTGGTTCTTTAAAAGTTGATTTCATTTTCTAAGGCATGGGGATCATATTGTGGTTTTGTAGGAAAATGTTCTTTGTCTTAGAAGATTCATGTTGAAATATTTAGGGGTGATATTTCATAATATCTATGAGTTAAGCTCAGATGGTTCTGAAAAAGGAGTAGCTAGGTGGATAGATCCAGCAAATTTGGGAAAATGTTAATAAATTGGTAAATCTAAATAAAGGGTATATGGGTGTTCATTGTCTAATTCTTTTAATACTCCTGTAGATTTGAAACTATTTCATGTAAAATTTGGGAGGAAAAGTTGATTTTCTTTATAAAGCATATTAATTTAAGGAGGTAAGTGTTGGGAGTTATATGAGATCCAAATAATTCACTAAGTATGTCTTGTTTTTCCTTAGGTTTGACTTGGTGGCAAACGGTGGGGCTTCTCTAACTTTGGTATTTGAACGATCCCCATTCCTCACTCAGTATCATACTGTCTGGATTCCCTGGAATGTCTTTTATGTGATGGATACCCTAGTCATGAAGAAAGAAGAGAATGACATTCCCAGCTGTGATCTGAGTGGATTCGTGAGGCCAAATCCTATCATTGTGTCATCACCTTTATCCACCTTTTTTAGATCTTCTCCTGAAGACAGTCCCATTATTCCAGAAACACAGGTAGAATGTTCTAGCAGGCAGTACTTTTAAATAAACTATTTTCAGATCGTGTGGTTTCCAAAGAATCTTAAAAAAGGATTGCAGAATTCCAGTACTATCCTAAATAATTCTATAGAATGTGATGTGTGTGTGTATGTGTGTGTACTAAATAGGTATTGTTAGAGTAGGATATGGTTGTTTCTTAAAGATCTATTCAAAATACTTTTTCTTTAGGCTATATCTGTATGTATTTATTAGTTGCAGCCAAGTAGAAAACAGCTTAAACTCAAAAGCTAATAATGTCTTTGCTCATTCATTCATTGGAAAAAGTTTTTAGTGCCTATGAAAACCTGACTTCCTGACTGACATTGGTACTGAGAGCTATTGTACATGGTCCTTACTCTCAATAACTTCCTGTTTAATTATTATTGTAAGTCAAGAATGTTTTAGAAACAATGATTTTTAACGGAAAATGTTCATTAATTTTCTCAAGGTATAATTATTTTAAAAACTTGGCGTCATGTTTTAAGCTCTAATACTTTATGGTTCATAAAGCCCTGTTCCCCACAGAGAAAAAAAAGCTACGTAACTTTTTAAAAAATAGTCATACTTTATTCATTTTATCTATTGAAATATCTGGGGATTGTTTTCTTTCCTTTATGTTTCCAACTAGAAATAACTTTCAGATCTTAAAGGTAGGACATTAGGTAAAATAATAATGAACTTTACTCATCAATAGCTAAGTAAAAATATCTAGCCTTTAAAATATAACAGGACATAACAGCTTTGTCACTTTCATTCTTCAAATATTTATTGAGTACTTGTTCTGCACCAGGCACTGTTATAATGGAACAAAGCAGTAAACCAATCAGACAAAGTGCCTGCTCTCGAGGAGTTCACCAACTAACAGGGAGAGAGAGGCCAACAATATACATCAGGTTGTGATATGACTTATTTGAAAATAATAAAGCAGGGTAAAGTGGATGGAGGTGCAATTTTAGAAAGTGTAGTACAGGAAGATCTCTTTGATATGACGTTTCAGCAGGAACTTTAAGAAAGTGAAAGAATAAACCCCCAAAATGGAAGGGCATTCCGGGCAGAGCCAAGAGCAAGCTCAAAATCTCCAAGGGAAGTTGTACTTGGCTTGTTCAAGGAATGGCAAAGAGGCCTGCAGGTGTGGCTGGACTGAAGGCTGCGGTAGACAAATCACAAATCCTTGAAGACCGTGGCGAAGAGAAGGACTTTTTACTTTGAGTAATTGGAAGCTGTTGGGGGTTTTTAAGCAGAGCAGTAATAGTTACTGATTTCCTGCTTAAAAGGATCACTGTAGTTGCTATGCTGAGAATATTCTGTATTGAGCAAGGGTTGAAACAAGGACACCAGTTAGGAGGCCATCTCAGAAGTCCACAGGAGAAATGATGGTGGCTTGGACAAAGGTGGTTTGGGTAGAAGTGGTGAAAAGTGAACATGTAAGAGTGGAGTCCAGGGAAGAGGTTGGAACTAAAGATGTAAATTTGCAAGACATTGCAGTTATAGAAATACTTAGAGCATGGGATGAGATCCCCTAGGGAGAGAGTGTCGATAGAGATTAGAAAAGATATGCCAAGAAGGTCTAGGATAACAAAATATGGAGTTTCTCACAGGCACATGTGATGCAGAAGGGACGCCTCAATGATTTATGGCATAGCAGTTAAGTAGACTTTGAGCTGAAGCTTTCAGAAACTCATTGTAACCTTATTCAATTTAGCATTTCCTCCCCAGGGTCCATCTTGCAATAACTCTGAACTTCTTAGCCTGTCCTAAAATAGACTTAACCTAGAGGCAGTGTCTGTCTATAGGTGGCACATATGTAGCAAACCAGGTCATTGAAATGGATTTCAAATAGTCAACAGTTCCACGAATACATGGAAGGATTTTTTTTTTTCATTCCATCATTTGGTCATAAAACATTTAGTAAAAATTCCCTGAGAGCCTATTATGTACAAGGTACTCTACTAGGGTAAAAAGAATAATAAGACTTGGATCCTGCCCTACTGAATGTGATCAAGATTTGGTTGAAGAACTGTGGAAGTTCAAAAGAGAGGTCAATTCCTAGGAAAACCAAAGAAAGCATCACTGAGAAGGTTGACCTTAGAAAGGGTTGAAAGGATGTTTCAGATTGAAGATGTGTGAGCAGCAGCATGATGGTAAAAGCACATGATGTTGTATAAAAACTGGTGAAGGATTTAAATCTAGGGCATATAAGGGGAAAGAGTGGGGCCAGATTATGAATGGCCCTGAAATACCATACAATGGAGACCTTGAATTCTTTAGGCAATATGGAACCAGGGGACCAATGACTTTTTTCAGCATTTCTCAAAAGCTAACTCAAGTAACAAAATGCGTAGTTGATTGAAGGAGACAAAGAGATCACTGAACAGACTAGTGCTCACTTTATTTCCATACTTATCCAACGCTCAGATGGAGAGGACCCAGCCATCACAATGGGGGTGGAAATGGAGAAGAGGGAACAGATGAGACAGAGATTTGGAAGGTAGAGTTGGCAGGACATAGTTTCTAACTGGAGGCTTAATGGGGTCGAGAATGGGGCTTGCAGATCATGCAGCTGGCAAGAAAATAGGCTTAATGGTTTATTTTTCCACTCTGGCTGGATTTACTCTTCCCACCAATGCAAAATAACATGGTCAAGTTAAGTTACGTAGGAGAGATGCATACGTTAATGAACTAAATTACAGATATTTGTTCCATGGAAGTGGGTTACTGATGACAAAGACAATATAACCAGTTATTAAAATTAGGAATAACACTTGATATTTTGAAATAGAGAAGCACCTCCTACAAGGTCTTAGGAAATATATATTAGTGAAAGACTGCCTTACATATAGAAAACCTATCAAATTTATGAGAAATTATTTTGAAAATAAATTAAGAGGAAATAAATTCCATGCTTTAGGGTTCCGTCACTTATATTTTCAGGGCCATTCAGGAGTCACAGGATCTATTTTTCAAACTAACCCATTTCACCTCAATGGTGGGAGAACAGCGAGTTCTGTTTAGATTTTCACCCTACACTCCTCCAGAAGTACTGTCAACCTTAAATGTAATGGTTTCCCTGAGTCAATGGAGCTCTAAAAAGTTTCTGTCTGTTTATAAACTATTTCGCTTAGACAGTTTGCGGTTGAATTTGTTCGATGTGTTTGTTAAGCAAAACCCCAACTGTAATAAATTGGTAAATCTGCTATAGCATAGCAATGCCTTCTTAATCTATTACATTGCATCACGTCCCTCTTCATGGCAACACTGACTCACCATGCCAGCATGGACATTTGCTTAGTTCATTGTTTTGTGCTGCTTCCAACTGTGTGATTGTTTATATTGAAACTGACAGCTATGCCCTCAGTATCAAGGATTCTACTCACTAGAATTTGGAGATGACAGGTATACATCATTGCTAACGGTTTTATGGGAGAGGAGTTGAGGGGGAGGGGAAACACGACTGAACATTGAATCACTATTCACAGATTTTTCTAACACAAAAATGTAGTCCTTTATGTATGAATAATGAATCTTAATATGGCAACGATGAGGAATCCTTTGAGGATGCTATTTAATTCTTAGTAGAGAAAGTATGAGTTCTTGATGCAGGTTCTTGAACATGGATAGCCTTGCACTTTAAAATGTATTTAATAAGCTGATGAAGAGCTATTATTATTAAGCACACTAATAGAGGTATTAGTAAGTTGAATCTGAACTGTTCAGAAAGACTTTGTATACCACATAAAATATACTTTTCAAAATGATTAAAATAATGTTTTGGCGTAATGTATTCTGCCTATGTCAGTATAAATTCATTGAGCTAGTCACACTGATGGATAAACTGTAGAGTTAAGAATATGATTTTTACAAATTTCTAAAGGAGATCATTCTTATGCAGGTAATTATATTAACTTTTAATTCAAAAAGTATATATTGAATTCAGTATATATGTATTTTGTGTGCGTTCGATAATACACTAATTGTTTTCTGGGGGGAAATTTACACAGCTTTAACATATTAGTTCATTTACCATCATATCAGAAATCAGTGGTGAGCCCTAGCTCAATGTTGAACTAATTATGAAAATAGGCTATTGTTCTATTACCTTTCAACATGGAAATGGAATTTGCTACAATTTAATCCAAATGTGTTGGTCTTTTTTGTTATCATTCCTGTCGTTATAGGATGTGACCAGTCAGCTGACGAGGCCATGGGCATAGGTTTAATCCCCAAACGAGCCAGCTGGCGTAGGCCAGATCTTTGGCCTAGACCACATCCCTGTTCTGAGCTAACCATCTTACAGATGTCTGCTCTAATTCTCCAGGGCGGCTGGGGTGAAAGATGGGTTAGTGAGAATCCACTGTGACTCTAAGCCAACAAGTCAGTGCATGTCAGCCTGATGGAGCAGTCACACTGTTTCCTGTGTGAGGAGTAGCGACCGAGGTGTGATTAACTCAGAATAAATGACATGAAGCTTTTAGGAGGAATAAAATTGGGCTGGCAGCAGAGTTCTTTTTAATTATTGAATGAGATAGTTCAACTGCATATTTGTGAATAGTGATTCTTTGGTGTCTTGGTTTATTTGCTCTACTAGCTTCTTTTAAATATATCGTAGCTGGTAGTCATACCTTCTGCTTTATTCAAACCTAGGTACTCCATGAAGAAACCACAATTCCTGGAACAGATCTCAAACTGTCCTACTTGAGCTCCAGAGCTGCAGGATATAAGTCAGTTCTCAAGATCACCATGACCCAGTCCGTTATACCATTTAATTTAATGAAGGTTCATCTTATGGTAGCTGTAGTGGGAAGACTCTTTCAAAAGTGGTTTCCTGCCTCACCAAACTTGGCCTATACTTTTATATGGGATAAAACAGATGCATATAATCAGAAGGTCTATGGTCTGTCTGAAGCTGTGGGTAAGTTCCATATAAATATATTCTGCATCAAAAAAAAATTGTCCTGAAGTCAGAACTAACATAAAATTAATTGTAACACATGGAAATCAATGGATGAACAGATAGGAAGGCAGTAAGGTTGTTGTAGGTAAGGAGTAAGCGGGTTGGTTTAGATCTGCCATGGGAAAAAGGAATGTGTTCCCTCTGACAAAAGGAGAAAGGGTCCATTTTTCTGGTTGAAATTGTGTCTTAGAAGAATGTTCTGAATGAGAGTTCAGGTCGTCATATCCTTTTTTCCGTGGTTTTGTTTTTTCTTATTGTGTCCCTTTTTTCTTTTTCTTCTTTTCTTTATAACAGTATCTCCTTGGCTTCCTTATTCTTTTTTATGTTTTCTGTATCTAACAACAAGTGTAAGTTCAACTTATAATGATATTTAACAGGATATCAGACAACATCTGTGTCCAAAAATTATGTCAGCTCCTTTGACTGAATTCAGTTCAATCCATTCAATTCAATTCAGTTCAGTCAATTCAGTAGAAGGATAGTCTTAAAACATCAGTCAAACCAGTTGTTTCTCTGAACGACTGGACAATACAAAGTTTGACTTGTGAGATACGTAAAGTACAGCTTCAAGCTCAGGCTCAGAACATCAAAAACTAAAGGATAACATGTATGTTGTTCTGGTAGCTTTTACCTGAAAATATGATAAACGTTTTATTCTGAAATTAATATATAATTTGGACTTGAATTAATTCAAATCAATCAGACAATTGTCCCTTCTCCCTTCACTTTATTCTAAATTTTCAAATCCATGTTTCATTGTGAACTCTGAAGCTTTTCATTTGTCATTTGTTCATATTAATTTACTGCTAATTTTACTGTTCATTCTTGATAGTACCATGTGAATATAATGTCATAATCTGGCCATCTTTTTTGCTCTATTGGACCTTACTTACTGTAAATATTTTCCAGCACTTAAAACCCTTGGAAACTAAACAGCTCTAGCTATTCAGGGAGCAAATATCATTTTTAGTTGTTACCATCTGGTCACCATTTGGGGCTGGTTGATCGATCTAATTACTTAACCAGTTGCCCAGTGTGAACTTCATTTTGTGCTGTGAACCCCTTGTAAAAGAGTGATGTGGGAAAAAATACTAGTTTTCTATTAAATCAGTACAAAAATAATGTTTGGAGATCATTTTTTTAGAAAACCACCTTTTATATGATCAAATCTTCTCATATAAAAAAATAAACTCTGCTCATAAATAAGTGGAAATATAGTCTCGGAACACAATTGTGGAAAAAGCAGTTTTATCAAAATAATAAAATAAATTGCATTTCTGCCTGTAGTTGAGAAGATGAACTGTGACTTGTTTTGATTCCAGTGTCAGTCGGATACGAGTATGAGTCGTGTTTGGACCTGACGCTGTGGGAAAAGAGGACCGCCATTTTACAAGGCTATGAATTAGATGCTTCCAACATGGGTGGTTGGACGTTAGATAAACATCATGTGTTGGATGTTCAGAATGGTAAGACCTTGTTCACAGACAGTTAATATTGTTCACCTTCAAACTGATTAGATTGCAGCAACGTTTTATCCTATGCATGCTGTAGGATTAGAATCAGAAGAAAAAAATAAAGATATATTTTTTAAAACTATAAAAGCTTCACGTGGAACTACATAATATTCTTCTCATGAACTGTTTTTGTATATCCATCTCCAAAATAGTTTCACCATTAGAATGTAAGGGACTGACTTTGGTGCAGCATTGAAAGGACTCTATGTGGGAGTGTTTGCCACAGATTCATCCAGGGATGTCTAATTCTACAGTAAGTCAGTGAATTGATCCCAAAAACTTTAGGAAGATTTATCAAAAAGGGAGGGAGGGGTATCTTTTTTGGAAGATTAGCCCTGAGCTAACTGCTGCCAATCCTCATCTTTTTGGTGAGGAAGACTGGCCCTGAGCTAACATCCGTGCCCATCTTCCTCTACTTTGTATGTGGGACGCCTGCCACAGCATGGCTTGACAAGCAGTGCTAGGTCTGCACCCGGGATCCGAACCCACAAACCCCTGGCCGCCAAAGCGGAACGTGGGAACTTAACCACTGCGTCACCAGGCTGACCCAGGATTTTTTAAAAAGTCAAGAAAAAATAAAAATCCTTGCGACTACCAAAATATTCCTAATAGATTTAATCCTTAGATAGTCTATTCTGAAGGTCTAGATTTTTTTTTCAGTTCTTGTTAGACTGTGTATTTGAGAAAATAAGTATTCTCCCACTCAGATTGGGTTGACTTTGTAAATATTAGGAAAAAATGAATAAAGCAAGAAAGAAAAAATGAGAAAAAAGCAAGAATCAAGGGTATAACTTGTAGTAGCTTTTATAATATAAGTGAATATGCTCTGAAAAAACTTATTTCAGGCATCACAAACCAAAAGAGATAAATTACTTGCAAAATGTGACCAGCTTAATCTCATAAAGAATATTATTTATGTTAAACAAATTCTATTGTCTTTACATTTGGCCCATATGCTGGCTCCATCTCAGATAATTTATAGGTACTTAGCTAGAAAAGCTGAACCTGAAGGTAACGCACTCTAGCCTCCTATCCTAAACCACATCATGCTAGTAACTCTACTCTCCTTTTACAAATATCCAGAGGAGACTTCACATTTTTGGCAAAATAATCTGGCTTTTGACTTTGCAGAAGTTTTTGACGATTCAGAATGTTGAATTGAGCATGCAGTACAACTAAATGTTTAACTATGATTAGTGGTCATTTTTCAGATTAATGTTGCTTTGATATTCTTTTCTTTTTTTAAATTTTTTGTTGGAGAGGATACATGTTAAACCTGCAAATACACTAAATGTAAGGAAATTTCCAAGCCAAGGCTTGAAAATGCTGGTTGGTACGTTACTTCCGGAAGAGAATAGTACAGAACAAATCAATAGTAAGAAAAAAACAAAACAGAAAGACCCTTTCCACCTTTCCTATTTGGGGCAGTACTAAACTCTGCTCCATTTCCAAGTGTGCCCTGGACATCAGGTTGTAGTTCATTTTGCATCGCTGAAGATTGGGGGCAGAGCTGATGACTAGTGCCACATGCGGCACACACTTTGGAAAAGTGGGACTCCCAACCAAGGAGGATGCTCCGTATGTTATCCCTAATCATCAGCGGTGTCTGGGCAGTGCTAGTTTCAGTCTGTTATGTTAGTAACACGAGGCTTCATTGTGGTCTTTCAAAATGCAAAGCCATGTGCCGGCCATCCTAGGAACTGGTCTTGATTAAATTATTTGAAATTGTATTTCCCACAGTTTGACATATCGCTATATATTCCTTCAGAAGTTATTTACAAACAAAACTGGGGGAACCTCTCTAGCTGCATGTTAGTTATTACGAGAATAATAGTTTGCTCCAGGATTTCACCCAGCAGATTATGAACCAGTAGGGAGACTACACGCTAAGAGCTCCAGGAAAGCCCGTACCTCTGTAATTCAACACTGTTAGGATACCCAATACTCAGGATAGTAAGTGGGTAGATTGAGAAACTTGTAGATATTCTGTGTCTGTATATATAATAAAAATACACACATATACACACACTCTACCAGAATAGTACATAGAGTTAGCTTTTATTAAAATATCAGGTCAGATGTAAAAACTAGACTACCCAAGATTCTGTCCTCCAAAAAATGTTATTTTATAAAATATATGTTATTTTAATATTTTTAAATAACATGTTATTTAAAATATGAGGTAACCTAATTCACAGAGTGAACTGATTGTGATTTCAGATTTTATCCAAGAACAGTTTGACAAGTAGTGCCTTTTCGAAGTGACATGTGTCTAATTGAATAAGCAGAGTGATTTGTAATCATGACAAGGTGGACAAGCTATGAAAATGTATTAAGGAAGGAGAGAAGGCAAAAATGTAGACAGCGACAGGTGTTTGTGCAGGCACCCTGAAACATGGAAATAAATACTCTAATGTTCATCATTCCCCTCTGACGTCATAATGGGGGAGAATCATGGAGGACCAATCGTTCAAAGTCATGACCGAATCAATCAGGGGCAATAGAGCAGTAGGCTGGCTTGTAGGATTCTTCTGATGAAAATTACAGAACCGGCTCTTCTAGGAAATTATTGTTCAGTAATTGTCCACTAATGCAATCATAGAAAGAAGGATCTTAGATATCATTAATGTATTCTTTGAATATTCAAGGCAAAATGCATTTCATCCGTTGTTACGATCCAGCCATATTTGGAGTATTTTTCCTTAAATTTGAATAAACCTGTTTTGATCTTTCCTGACTTCCCTTTGTAAATTTGCTATGATTGTTACATCACCCAAATAGCAAAGCATTAAGAGAGTAATCACAGAATTCGTCTGAAGTGTGCTGAGCTGTAAGGGGAACATAGTTATTCTGATCTCTTCTTCACTTGAAAATTATCCCAAAGTGGGAGAAAGAAATACTGTCTCAAGTTTCCTGTTTGTACTTTCATGGGATTGATTTTTTTAACAGTATATTTGCTAAAAAGTGTAAGCATTGGCTGGTTTGGAGAACACTTTAAAACATAGAACATTCAATGAGAATAACATGTACAGCTCTAAAGTCAACACAGCAGGTAGTTTATACAGATAATAACACATTGAGAAGTGTCACAAAATACGTATGGGACAATAACAGCTGACCACCCAGTGTACATCAGACCAAATGAAACCATTGATCTATATGTAATAATCGTAAATGAATGAATTTAGAATCTCAACTCAAATATAGTTTCTAACCATGAAAATACTTAATATTCATTTGGAATTTTTTTCTCAGGTTTTCATTGAAGATCGTAATGGAGCAGTGGCATTTTGTCTTCTTAAAATTATTGGCACTCTCATACCTTAAAGCAGAGTACACTTGAAATAATAAGTTGCCCTTCCACAACAATTTTGTAAAGTTTGAATTTTTGCATAACTGTGGATATATGCATTCTTATAGCAAACAAGAATATAAGCAAGGAGAATATTCTTTGACAGTATAGTAGTATAATGGAAGTTTGATATATATTTTCTAACTTTGTTTTCCATGAAGTATTTTTAACTTTTTAAAATCAATGATAAACTCATAAGGAAGAAATACATATTTACGATGCACATTTTTATGAATTGGATTAATATATAGTATTTTAACATCATTTAACAATTAGGCAAACTTGTTCTTCCCTAAAGAACGTTATGTAGAGCCTAATTCTCAAATTTGGTTGCACATAGGGATCATCTGGAGAGTTTGTTTTGTTTTGTTTTGTTTGAGGAAGATTAGCCCTGAGCTAACATCCATGCCCATCCTCCTCTATTTTGTATGTGGGACCCCTGCCACAGCATGGCTTGATAAGCAGTGTGTAGGTCCACGCCCAGGATTTGAACCAACAAACCCCAGGCCACTAAAGCGGAGCACTCAAACTTAACAACTACACTGCCACGGGGCCGGCCCCTGGAGAGTTTTTTAAAATCTCAGTGCCAAGTCTGCACCCCAGACCAATTAAATCAGAATCTCTCAGGGTGAATTCAAAGCTTCAATATTTTTTACAGCTCCCCATTCAGTTCCAATATGGAACCAAGTTTGAGAATCACTGACATTGAGTACTGGGGTTTTTAATTTTTCTTGTTCATCTTTGCTTCTTTCACCAGACATTCTTTAAATCCAGAATGGACAGCATTTTTTTATATATATCCTGTATGTTTTGTCATACAATCCTTTATACTAGGTAATTGAACGGAGTTCTTTCCAAGAGAACTTTAAATAAAAGCTTTCCCAATCCAAATCGAAAAGACACTGAATTGTAGTTAGCTCTCTAGTGAACGTGTTTACTTTTCATCTTTACTCTTTTTATCATGAGAAAAATGCATCTTATTTCTTCTAGGTATACTGTACAAGGGGAATGGGGAAAACCAGTTCATCTCGCAACAGCCTCCCGTCGTCAGTAGCATCATGGGCAACGGACGAAGGCGCAGCATCTCGTGCCCAAGTTGCAATGGTCAAGCTGATGGTAATAAACTGTTGGCCCCAGTTGCATTAGCTTGTGGGATCGATGGCAGTCTATATGTAGGGGATTTCAACTATGTTCGGCGGATATTCCCTTCTGGAAACGTAACAAGTGTTTTAGAACTAAGGTATGTCTTTCCTTAATTTGGGATTTTAATCAAAGCTACACATGCCTTTATAAAAAAAAATGCTGAATCTAATGTACTAATTTATTTATTTAAATATATCTTCCCAATGTTTCAAATTCTCCCTAGAAAGAAGTTAGATTGTTGGTTAAAGTTAAGAAAAGCAGAAGACATATATATTGTGGCATAAATGTACAAAAGATTGTAAAGTTACCTCATATATAAACTGTCTCACTGATTCCAGTGAATTTTCTAGGCTTCGATAGGATCGAACTATGATTTTTAAATCCCTTTAGTCGTCTTTAGAATAACCTTGTGATATAGGTTATTGCTCTTTTATCTCACAGTGATTGAAAGTAAGGCATGAAATATGTTCCTACGATATCAGGGCATAACAGTAAATGAACTAAAACTATAACTTTCAAGTAGAATATTGGATCTTCAAGTTGGGTTAACCCAGTAACAATAATGACAATAAAGTAACAAATTGTTGTCTTTGCCTTGTTCATTTGTGTGTGATTATCGAAATCATCCTATTTGGTAAATTATTTGATAAGCCATGGCCTAAAAAATTCATTTCCAGTGTTATTTCTGCTTAAGTGGGCAATTTCCATACAAATAATTAAAATCTCAGTCTTCAACTCATTATATTTTAGAAACCTTTTCTAACTCTGCTTTCTTTTCACCTTTTTTATCTGCTTCCACCAAGAAATAAAGATTTTAGACATAGGTAAGCATCTTGCTTAAAGGTTGTTGTGTATTTTCAAATGTCCTTTTTACATTTCACTGTGACTCTCTGACACTGTTTTCTAAGAATATTTCATCATGAGAGGGGAAATGCAGTATCACAGAACATCTAAGGAATTAAAACTGCTTAAATGCACGATTATTATATAATATATTGCAATGTATATTACGCCATATATATACAATATAATTTGAAAAATATTTTCAAGTTGGTTAATAAAGTAAATTTCATTGGAAAAAATTATTATATTATTATAGTGAACATCTCTAACAAAAAATTCTTCAAATGTATGATATGGTAGAGGGCACCTGTGTAATCATTCAGGTTAGTAGTAGTTAATTTTCTAAACATCAGTTAGACTTGCACAATCTAAGCCATGGTGAACAAAACAAAATTTGAAGCACAGTAGAGTTTAAAGAAAGTTTAGTTTGACCAATAGCCAGGGCAGATCCTGGTTTATTGGGCCCAAAGCTTATTCACTTTGGGGGCCTCTGTTTAAGGAAAAGAATCTAAAAAATTTTACTTTGGCAAATTTTTTAAAATGTAACACTGTGTGAACATATTGCTGGGGCCCTCACTGGGCTTGGCTAGAACCCATACAAGTGAGGGGCCCTAAAGCTTAAGGTTTATTAACTTCCCAGTAAATTCATCACTGCTGTGTTTTCCTAAGTTGAGAGAGTTACCAGATTTGAGTTGTAAGAAGTAATGTTTTCATTGATATTATTATGGAGGAAAAGACTTTCCTCAGAGCTAAGGATGAATGCAGTTGAAGCAAATATATAGATTGAAAAGTTTTTCCTTTTCTATTTGCTGTGTACACTTAACTGGGGAAGATACAGGAAAAGCTTTTATATGGATACTTTTGACTGAAAATTTTTCCTCGGGACAGCAAGAAAGGGGAAAAAACAATACGTTTTAAAGTAAAGCTAGTAAAAAACAAGACATACTGGACATGCTAGATCTAGTTTGGCCATTAAAATATCTAATGAAATGATAACAGATGGAAAAACTAGTGATATTTTGTATGACATCCTTGAGATGAATAAATCAATGTAACCCATTTAAACCGTTGTGTGGAGATTAACAACTAGGAAATAAAAAGCAAAGTTCTGCTGAAAGATGTATGGCTGTTGCCTGTCAATATGACCAGGTATATTTTCCTGAGATCCCCTGTTGATCTTGTACTATCAGCTAATAGCTCAGTCACGTGCTAAGATTAACACTATATTTCTCTGGACTATTGAGCATGCAAAGCTCTACTATTAGAAACCACAGCAAAACACCAAAATTTTTCTGGCCTTGCCCTCTTGGTAACTGTGGAGAAAAGAGGAAAGACAAACAGATGTATACACCAACTAAACGTGAAAATGCTGGAGGCAAGACAGGAAAAACTAGCAGAGCAGATGCCTTTTAACAAGCTAGCCTATTACATGCCAGGCAGGGTGCCAGATATTTTATATATGTTATTGCAGATGCACACAACAGTCCTTCAGGGTTCCAGATGAGGTCATTGAGGCTCAAGGAGGTTACATATCTGCCCCAAGATGCATAACTAAGAAACAGGGAGCAGAGATTTGAACCACTGTAAAAGGTGTGTTCTTTCCACTACTCCACGCAGCCAGTTATGTGTCCAAATGGCTAGGTTTCCATGAGATAATTCCCTGGGTATGCAAAAAGCTAGATTTATTTTACAATCATTTCACAAATTACTTGGAGCTATAATCTGTTTCACTGGGAAAAAAAAATCTGTGAAATTAAAGCTATATTATTATTAACAATATTTTATAATGTGTACTCATTATGTGCTAACTCATGGTGTTTGGCACTGATACTCATTATAACCCCTCTCTCATGATCCTCCTTAACCTTTCTCCTCTGTACATTATTCTGGCTAAGTTTGGACTCCTTTATTTTCTTTATGCACCATGCATGTAAAATACACTGTTTGGGTTTTATATTGGTATTCCTCTTTATTAAATCAATGTTAACTGATCACTTACCATGTGCTAGGCACGTTGACAAACAGTAGTATAAGGCAAAGTCCGTGCTCTCAGAGCTCACAGTCCAGTAGGGGAGATAAGATATATATGTAACCAACTAAATAGCATTATCCATATCATTCTTTGATGTTTAATCATATCCATGGCTTATACCATGAGAGTAATTCTGTGGAGGAAGAGACTAGGGAGTGTGGTAAGGAAAAGTTTCACGGAAGGGGTGATATTTGACCTAGGTCTAAAAATGAAGTCTGCTTAAACAGAACAAGAAGAAGAAAGAGAAGGACAGTCATGAAGAAAGAATATAGAGCAAGTCAAGTTACTGGGGTCTGCGAAGGAGATAAGCAAGACAGGTTCTGAGAGGAATCAGAGCCACCTGAACGTGGAGCAGGGGATTCATGTTGGTAAAAAGGAGAGATACAGGGAGAAAGGCAGATTGGGGTCGGATTGCTTAGGACCTTGAATGCTCTAAGGAGTTACTCTTCTATCCTGTAGGACAACAGAGACAGTGAGGAACCGTTTTCTGATCTTGAACAAGATCATGGTATACTCAAAGTGGCCTTTTAGGAAGATTAATCTGGTATCAGTGTTCAGTGTGACTTGAAGATTAGTTAGAAAGATGTTACATGAAACCATGAGATGGTAGTGTAGGGGAGGAAGACAATTCCTCTACTTTCTAGGTCCTTCTGGATGAGAAGGATTAAATTACATTGAAATGAGACAGCATAACAGGAGAAAATCGAAGTTTAATAACATGTGTACATGGGAGAAACCAAGGAAAACTAACTCTCCACAATGGCCAAAGCTGCTGCCTTAAATACCATCTTCAGCTAAAGACAAAGGAGGATGTTAAAGACTTCTGAGGGGAGGAAGGCAGCTTACATGGAGATGGAAATGCAAATATTTGTTAAACAGGTGTTTGCTGGGCTGTCTATAGACAATGTGACCCGAGAGACACATTTTACATTGCGCTACATGTGTATTATGATATTAGCTTATGGTATTACCGTGGTGTTAGCTCCTTCCTGGAACAGGCCTTCTATCTTAAATTATTTCAGGCAGTTGGAGGGAAGGTCAAAATTTCTTGCGTCTTTTGTTCTTAAAAACAATCAAGGCAAAGAGACATATTTTGGGGTGGCCAATTCTGATCCCCCACACTAGGTACCTAAAATAGGATGGCTAGCAATGAAGGAAATCAACCAATAAAATAAAGGAGGGCAGAGAATGGACACACTGTACACGGCTGATAAGGAAGAGGAAGATGTAGAAAACATCCAAGGTTTTTGACCCCAGGTCATCAAACAGATGACAAAATCATTGACAAAAATAGAGATTCCGTTAGCTTAATAACTAATTAATCAAAACTGACTTAACAAAAGCAAAATGTTTCAGCTCATTGAAACTTCCTCATTTAGCTTAAAAAATTAAAATTCTTTTCAGGTGACTCTTCCTTTTTGCCTACCTATGTCATCTCTCTTTTACTGGCTGATAGGATCTGCCTGGCTTCCTCCTTATCCCCACTTTCCTGGCTAGCATAAAAGTAATGAGAGGCTTAGGAATAGGTGATTGGAAGAAAAAGAAATTGAAAAATGTGTCTAAGCCTATAAAAATGAACACTGCAGTCAGCTGTTAATGATTAAGTAAAAAATAAAACTGCATGCTTCTTGTCCTCGTACCAAGTTTCACATACTATCAACAGCCTCATTAATTGGACTAATGGAAATAATTAGTAAAAATATTGAATAACAAAATAAATATAAAAACACATAGTCTTTATTATTTTAAAATTCAAAGTATTCTGTCATGCCAAATTTAATAAGAACTGCCAGGATATTATATCAAATAAAAGTCCCTAGCTACATTTTAATGAAAAGATATAAACACTACTCAATCAACATATTAAGTTTTTTACATAAGAGGAAGCTTCTGAAATGCTTGAAAAATAAGTTTCTCTTAGATATGCTAAATATTTCCCCCTATGATGTTTATAATATTAGTTTGCTAACAAATCTTTTTTGTGGGTAGTAAATTTTAGCTTATCCCTGTTCCAATTCTTTAAAATTTCAAAATAAAAGAACTTTAATTAACTAATACCAGCCAAGGGGCACTGAAACATGTAGGACCGAAAATCAACTTTGTGAATTTTATATTACCAATTAAAAGATCAAAGAAAGTGTCAATTACGGGTCTGTGAATTTGAATCATTTAAAGTTTAGATACAAAATCGTAAAGAATTGGTTCAGCACTTCTTATTGACTTAATATTTAAAAATCAAGCAGGCACAGAAATATCACATTCCAAAGTTCTGCTTATGATAATCTAAACAGTCTTTTGGTAGCTGGCAAACAGGTAGCCTACTTTTTCGCATAAATATAAATATAATTAATAAAATAAAAATAAATAAGCATAAATATAATTGACGCTTCTTCAAATGGTCTGGGTTCTAAGCGCTGTGGCATAATTTCCAACTAAAAAGGTAAAAGTGCTGATAATATCTATTCTATACCTTCTTCCTTGTGAATGTTTCTCTAATCTAAGAAGGCTGAATTATGACAAAATGGATGAGCAAATCTAGTCTGCCTTTACCCCCGGATCTGGGTCTAATTGCATAAGACCGTAGAGAGGATGGCTTGATAAAATCAATGATCTAGACGATTGAATGCATCAAGAAGCAAGATACAGAATACTAAAGGTTCTTAACTTGATCTCAGTTTCTTTGGTTTTGCTGCTGTCCATCAAAATCTGAGTGTTATTTTGAACCTTTCTGAAATGAAAATCTCAAAGGCTGTTGTGCTCCTCCTTTTGAACAGAGATTCCCCCAAACTGTGCCTTTTGTAAATTCTTGCCCTCCAGCTGCCAGCGGCAAATTGTTTTCAGTCATCATAGGCTCACATCTTTACATGAGTTATATTACTGATCTAAACACTCACCTCTCTTTGTACCACCGCACCAGCCTCTCTAGTGCTTTGGCTTTTCGGGAATTTGGAGAGCAAGTACCAGCTCACCCTGTCAGAAAACTCTCTCTGCTTAAATTGGGTGTCCTTGAATCCCAGGCCCATGGCACATACTGCTCGGAGCTTCTCCACCACCAGTCTGTCAACTACACATTTCCAAACCCACTTTTTTTCCTTTTGGTCTTTCAGTACTGATCCCCCTTTTCATTTAAGAGAGGCTGGGATCTAAGAACCAGCTCTAATTTGCCAGCCTAGGCTGCTCTGCAGAGAATTTACCCAATTCTCATCTCCCACCATTCTGGAGGGACTATTTCCAGAGCTCAATTGTTTTCTCCAGGGCCACATACTCCTCCACATGTTTCTTCCAGACAATAGAGTTGTGTGCAAAATTAGACCTTTCATTTGATGGAGATTTTTAAAACCATTGGTATATGTTGCTTGATTTAGAAATTTCTGTATCTTCAAGGAAGGAGTTGTTTCAAGACAGGAAATAGCAAATATAAGCTCCACTTTGGACATTTTGTTATTACTATCTTACTCAAATAAAACCAACGCCCATAAAGGCAAAGCTTATGACCTGAACCAGTCTGTTATTTTTGCACCAAGAAAACTCATGCCGTAGCTAAAGAATGTCACTACTACTCAAGCAGCCACCTTGAAATCTCTTGTTTTTTCCCCTCAAAATGAGGAACATTGTGAAAAAGCATACATGATTCATTTTCCTTTAGCATCATTACTCTAGAAATAATTCAGAGTGGATGTTTTCAGAAAGGTCTGCATTGTTTTAATAATTTAGGATGTTATAGTATAATAGAACTGAGGATACAAATTTGAACCTATCCAGATTTAGATAATGTTTTTCCTTATTAACATTTTCAGAAAGCAAGTCAAGCTGTAGTTAACTACAATTATTGCACTTCTCTGTTGTGTAGAGTTACAAAGCAAAAGACTATTGCAGTGTAAGAGGAGAAAGAACACAAGCAAATATTAAGAGCAGCTAATGCTTATTGAGTATGTATTATGTGCTAGGCACTGTTCTAAGGATTTTCCATATATTAGTTCATGTAATCCTCTTAGATCCTATGAAATATATATGATTATTAGCACCTTTACAGATAAGGAATCTGAGGCACAGATAAGTTAGATAACATGCCCAAGGTCACACAGTTAGTAATGAAGCTAGGATTCAACCCCAGGCAAGCTGGTCCAGAGATCATGCTCATAGATATAAAATGACAAGAAAATAAAGTGCGTGTGTGTATGCATTCATAACCAACTATACAACTATTCATAATTAGTATATAATCAGGGAGATAGGAAAGACTAGAGAAGTCTCTCCAACGTCATGTCTTTCAAAAGAGACCCAGCTTGATTGAACTGCAGCTCTGGCACCAACTATATAGACCTGAAAGGCCAGCTCTGCCAGTATCAGACGGTTTATAGAAAAACAAAACAAAAGCAAAAACCGCTATGAAATTGCTCTGAATGTTATATTGATATGTGACTTTTCACTTCATGGTGAAGTAATCAACCACCGCATTACAGAACACAATATGCCTTTTGCCGCATTTGAAATTTCAGGCATCAACTTAGAAAAATGATATGATAACACTTAGCATGGCAAGTTGATTATTTGGTATAACCCAGCATTCTGAAATGTTTTTGTTTCAAATGACTTGCACCTCTTTATGAGTTCTTCATATCACTTTTCACCCTTTCACACATGTTTACACACTCAAGACCTCTTGCACTAATCTGTCTCTTGTCACTAAAAGATCTGAAAGACTGGAAAGGAGACCCCAACACTGACGGTTTTCAGGCCTTTGTGTGTCTCAGTATTTCTGTTGCCAACATCACAGCCATAGAGCTTTTCAGAGCTCCAGAACGTCCCTACAGACTCCATGAGTGGTCAGCCCTTCCACCAATGTGACAAACACTAGCAGAAACTAGAACCTATTATTTTAACAGCAGAATGTTACAGGAACAATGAAATACGTATATTCCCCACTTAAAAGGAAGAGCTTTAAGTAGTGAGAATTGTTTCATTAGAACCTAATTAGTAATGAGAAAACTACTAAACCACTAGTCAGAATAAATATTTTCATATAGGTAGATTTATATTACATATTTTAGATATTCACATATAAAATAAATGGAAACAAAAATATAATTGTGTGTGTATGTGTAGAGAGAGAGAGAGAAAGGAGAATGAATTAGTAAAACCAATTTTGTTATCCAAAAGTGTGGAATCTGGTGGATTCTTATCAGTGGACATCTTTGTTGGGACACCAAATCATTTAAACTCTTTTTAGAATTTTTTTCAGAAGGCGATATTGGCACATGGTACCAAATGACTTTCTAAGAATGTGGTGTTCAGTTTTTGTAAGGAGATTAATTTTTTAATTCCAACCAAGTGTCATAATTTGTTTATTCCTTGATAATGTTGGTCTTACCATTTTTTACAGGAAATGGGATATAAAATAGTTTACACTTGCACTACTTTACGTTTATAAAATTGAGGCATTGTGTTTTGTGAACAAATATCTGTATCTCACGAAATTCATAGACAGGTTTTAGAGCAGCTTCATTTACAAACTTTAAAAATAAAACTGATGGATCTAGCATTCTGACTTGTTGCCTTGGCCACCAACTGAGCCTGTCTCCTACCCTTGAATGACCTCATTTTAGTATTTAACCCCATAGCTCAGGAGAAACATTGTAACTGCATCAGATTACCTTTCTGGGTTGTGATAGAACAACCAAGACAGACACAATGCTACATTTCTTCAGGGTCTGATTTGATTTGGTTTTGTAGCAAGAGAAAACAGGAGAGAATTCTCTGTGATGAAGTTCGAGTGAACTCAGTAGTATGTTATACTTCACAGGAGAGTTGCACTGAGACGCCCTTCCCCTGAAATAAACTTTATGTCTGTTACTCAAGGGCAATTTATTAGTGGCTTTGCATTGCACCAAAAATGTTTAGAGAACGCGCTTCTTTGTTTTAGGCTAGAGTCCTATTGCCTTCCAAAGGTAATTATTTTTTAAATGGCTGTCTTAACAAACTGTTAAACCCTCGGCAACAGGCAAGGAAGGAAAACAGTCATATCAGAGATGGCTACCAATTCTTTTAAGTCATTCTTTTAAGTCATTATTAAACATGCTGTTCATTTTCCAATCTGATAGGAGATTTCAGTTTATAATCCGTTTCTCATGGTCTGTTTTATTTTGCTTTTCATTTCTCTCCATGTATTAGGAGTAACCCTCTTGTGATGTTTATGTATGATCCTTTTTTTACAGCAGCAACCCAGCTCATAGATACTACCTTGCAACTGATCCAGTCACGGGAGATTTGTATGTTTCTGATACTAACACCCGCAGAATTTATCGCCCTAAGTCACTTACGGGTGCAAAAGACTTGACTAAAAATGCTGAAGTGGTTGCAGGAACAGGAGAGCAATGCCTTCCATTTGATGAAGCCAGATGTGGGGATGGAGGGAAGGCTGTGGAAGCCACACTCATGAGTCCCAAAGGTACCGGCATTTATCAATTTTCGGATTTCTTTTTATTAAAAAAAAAAAAAAAAGTGGAAAATCCATTTAGTGCCTGATTGTGTTTAATGCTGAGTCTAACATTTTACCCTCAACTGTGTTCTGGAAAGCTGTTTCATGTCTAGTGTTTTCAAAAGGCATTTAGCGTGAAACTGCTAAAATCCTAAGTTGATTTTACAGTAAATATTGGATTCTTGGCATTTTTTATTATCATACCATTTTTTCAACTTTTCAAAGAATAAAGCAACTACTCTGTATTATTCAGGTCACATCCTGTTAAACTTCAAGAAAGTGTCCAAATTCTTTCATTGTCCTGGAATTTCTTTGTCAGGAATGAATCCCAGGGCTCTTTAAAAAGCATCACTAAGCAACCCTCTTAGCCCTCACCAGTTTGGAGCTGTTAAACTTTTGTTTCTATGCCATGGGAAAAAAAATGCTTGCTGTGAGGAATTTCTGGAGGTAATAAGGGCTAAAATTCTATGTGATAAAGGTTTCTAGCTTTTAAACCAGCCAGGACTGACTCCTTGCTCATGTGTTGTGCCATTCATTATGGTGTTTCTTGGTTTGAGGCTTTCTTTCTTTTTCATTATAGCTAGTGACTATTATGTGAACAAGGCCTGGAAAGAAGTATTTGTTGTACTGAATTATTCATAATAGCAAATTTCATTATGGCAAGGTCAACAAAACACTACCCTTAGCTTAGATCTATTTTTGTTAGAACATAGTTACTCTAAGTTCAGCATAACAGAATCTGATCGGTTTCTATAATTTATAGACAACAACATTATAATTTTATATTTAAAACACGGGCACTACATAGATGATTCACACACTAACCAGAGATTCCTAGCAATTTGGGTTATTTCTTTATTACATTTTACATTTATTTATGTTGTAAATGCTTATGTTGGGTTTTTCCTCATGTGTTCACAATCTACACTCCTACCTGCTACCCATCACCCATGTTATCCTGGGGTTAAATGTTGAGTTTAATGATGAGCCTAAATGTTTAATCAAAATTAATCATTTTTGAAAGATTAGTAACTTACTTCTCTTGGATAAAGGAATGGCAATTGATAAGAATGGATTAATCTACTTTGTTGATGGAACCATGATCAGAAAAGTTGATCAAAATGGAATCATATCAACTCTCCTGGGATCTAATGATCTGACTTCAGCCAGACCTTTAACTTGTGACACTAGCATGCACATCAGCCAGGTAGTTAAAATATTAAGCTGAATTGTTTATCTTCTAAGTGGCTTGATTTACTATGTCGTTAGACCCTGATGGCACCTGTTAACCTGTATATATGTGTGTAGTGGTAGTTCTGATAAAGCTGCTCCATTTAAATGGATCTCAGACACTAATAAAAAGTTATTTTCTTTTATAATTCTGCGTTTGATGAATTCGGTGAGATACAGAACAATTGTCACTAAGAAATGCTAAGCATTTGTAATAAAATGCCAGTAAAAGAGCAGCAGGCAGATATTCCAGAAAGAACAAAATAGCTTAAATCTCTAATCTTTTGATTGCATGAGCTCCTTAAATAGTAGCATGAACCTGCTATGATCAGTCCCAAGGGGCTTATATTTAGAATTAGGAACTTTACTATTGGCCTGATTGAAAACACAATAGAACGCTAATGTATTCCTAACCTAGAAAGCCCGACATTTGGTGGTTATTACTGCTAACGGGAACATATGTGTTCATATCTCATTGGTATCTATTAACTTACTACTAAGAGGTTCATTTGCTATTTGGCTGTAACTTGCCAATGTTTTAATAAGCTGCATTTTTAAATAAAATGTTATTTCCTATATTCGTCTCCACTCGAAATTTTTAAGTTTGTTTTACTGTAGCTATTCAAAAAGGAATTTTGAAACAGTTTATCAAATTAAGGGTAATTTCCTCAAATGGTCTAATTTACTCTTCTAGCAAATTAACTGCAGTGCAGTAGCTGACTAACCAGACCATTTCTTTTTTATTAAGGTACGTCTAGAATGGCCCACTGACCTAGCCATTAACCCTATGGATAACTCCATTTATGTCCTGGATAATAATGTAGTTTTACAGATCACTGAAAATCGCCAAGTGCGCATTGCTGCTGGACGGCCCATGCACTGTCAGGTTCCAGGAGTGGAATATTCTGTGGGGAAGCACGCAGTTCAGACGACACTGGAATCAGCTACTGCCATCGCTGTGTCCTACAGTGGGGTCCTCTACATTACTGAAACCGATGAAAAGAAAATTAACCGAATACGGCAGGTCACAACAGATGGGGAGATCTCCCTGGTGGCTGGAATACCTTCTGAGTGTGACTGCAAAAACGATGCCAACTGTGACTGTTACCAGAGTGGAGATGGCTATGCCAAAGATGCCAAACTTAATGCTCCGTCCTCCCTAGCCGCTTCTCCAGATGGTACCCTGTATATTGCAGACCTAGGAAATATACGGATCCGGGCTGTCTCAAAGAATAAGCCTTCACTTAACTCTGTGAACTTTTATGAAGTTGCCTCTCCAGCTGATCAAGAACTTTATATCTTTGACATCAATGGCACTCACCAATATACTGTAAGTTTAGTCACTGGTGATTACCTGTACAATTTTAGCTACAGCAATGACAATGACATTACTGCTGTGACAGACAGCAATGGCAATACCCTTAGAATTAGACGCGACCCGAATCGGATGCCAGTTCGAGTGGTCTCTCCAGATAACCAAGTGATATGGTTGACAATAGGAACAAACGGATGTTTGAAAAGCATGACCGCTCAAGGACTAGAATTAGTTTTGTTTACTTACCATGGCAATAGTGGCCTTTTAGCCACTAAAAGCGATGAAACTGGATGGACAACGTTTTTTGAGTAAGTATATCAGAATTCTACTCTGATTATAAAATACTGTGATATAACAGTATAATCTAAAATCATAATAATGTATTCTTAAAGAGAGGTGGGATCCAGGTTTTTTGGGGCCTGGAGCTTTTATAGTTTTTGGATCCTTCGTTCTGAAAAAAGAAGACAGAATTAGACTCAGGACTTTGGAAGGGACTCAAACAAGTGGGAAACCCTGAAGCTTAAGTTTCGTTAGCATCATGGTAAATCTACCTCTGCTTAAGGGTTAACGTGTTGCTTCATAGAGACCTAGTACGTTAGCAGCAAATCTTCTGAGAAACATACTCCAACTTTGGTTGGGGGCTTAAACCCTTTGGGTTAACGTTTACGCGTGTGATAAAGCTGACTGTGTTGGGAGCTGTCACTGAAGAGGAACTTTAAAACCATTTACAGTGAACTTAGCTGATTACATCAGTACCGCAAATGTTCTTCTGGTTAGTTATTGACAATCTAAACTGCACTGAAAAGACCCTCCCACTAGAAGCAAATCAGGAATTGCTGGGTGCTCTAAAAGCCTATGAAAAAGTATGAGACTCACCCAGCCAGGGCTTTCTACTAAATCTGTGGAGTAGTGGCCCAGGCAGTGTGCTCTTTGAACAGGCACATTTTATGAGGTCGATTAGAACGAAAGGAGAATTAGCCGTTGTATTTTTTATGCTATATGTCCTTTGCAGTGAGTGCCTGTGTAAAATCATTTTCGATTACCTGTTCCCGTCACTAACATTGCACAAATCATAAGGAGAAATTAGATGTACAGAGATGGCATGTTGACAAATGCAAAATAGTCCTTAGAAATGAATATTGAGCTCCTTAGTGTGATATCTCCATGATGTGCTGAAGCAGAAGTATTTTCTGTAGGAGCACACCTCTAAAATTACAATAAAAGTCAGTAGAAAAAATGATCCAATATACAAATATTTTCCGTACAACTTTTCTGGAATGGATCTTATACATAAAGCTTCGTTCTCCTGTAGCTTGAATTGCTTTTCTTTTTTGACAGATTCCCTTGTAATAAAATGAGTGTTCCCCAGCAGCAGGATTTTGTCAGAGAAGCAAACCTTTTCAATTGAGTTACATTAAAATTCTGCTCTTAACATTCCATTTGCTCATTTTAGGATCGCAATAGGAAAGGAATAAATTGGAAGTTAATGGAAAGCACTTCTTTTGCACCGTTTTCAAAGTGATAGCAGGCTATATTGCCAAAGAGGCAGAAAAGAGGACAGAAAAAGTGCCCCCATCAGATGAGACTGGCCAGGAGAGCTGCTCTGATTATCAGATCTTCAGGAAATGATGGTGGCATTGGTAGGGTTTCAGTTTAGTTGAAAGCAGGGGAAAAAATAGAGAAATAAATTCCTAGGACAATCTAGGACTCGAGCTCTGCTCTGTGGGCCATTTCTGAATGTGTCCTTATTTGTTCCTGAGAATTGACACTGCACGGAAGTTCATCATGTGGGTTACTATGGACACATGAACTGCTTGCAACAGATACAGTGGTTTGCTTGTGGCCTGCAAATGAATTGTAATCAAGTTTGGAAAATTGGAGAAAGGGATGCACTCCATTGGTGGAGCAATGTGGGATAGGATAAACAGATTTGGGATTTTCACCTTTTGTTAAATTATGGTGCACAAAGAAGACACATTTCTCTAGTAACAAACACCCTCCAAAAATTTTAGATTTAGTCAAGAATCGGCACAACGGCTAAAGTAGAGGTTGAGTTGGCAAGTTGATCTTGTGAATATAATGGGAAAACCTTGTTTTAAAGAATGGAAGTTTTTAATTAATTGAAATATATCATAATCATATTTTACTAATACAAATTCATTACACATCATATTTAAAGTATATCTATTAAGTCATATCTAGATAACTTACAGTAAAGGCAACTATTCCAAAAAGTATTATTAAAATATTGTACCAAATATAAACCTCATAATTATATGCATATATATGTGTGTGTTTGTTATAATTTAATAAGATAGTGGTTTAACAAACCAGTGTTTAAAAAATAACTTTTCCAATAAAATTAACAGAAATATTGCTTTTAGAAAGCAGAGTTCTTGTTGATTTCCCTCTAGATGTTTGCAGCAAAGACATGATTAAAAAATTTCTAAGAAACATGTGTGCATTTTGCAAAACAGTGTATTACAATATGAGACAGAAAAAGTAGAGTGCTTAACCTAAGTAATTCAGTCGTCATATCAGAATGACAAATCATCTTTTTTTCGTTCCATACATTCTATAATTTAGTTGGGAAAGAACATGCCCACCTCTTCTAAGTGTAAGAACCTTTAAACACATTCCAAAGTACAGTAAGTGCCTAAAAGAAGGGAGGGGAGTGTCACTGTCAGGCTGCCCCTCCAGAAGCTCTCGCTGTCTTCTGACAGAGCGGCACATTTTGAGACTGCTGATGGGTGAACGCAGCCCCTATCTCTACTCATCAGAGCCTTGACACCAAGAGTTCATGCTTATGACATCCTGACTTGGACGCATGACTGGATGTGAAGGGTCCAGTAGAGGCAGCCGGGGGCGCCCCATACCTATCAGACTTCCTTGGTGTTCGTAGCTATGCATGGGCTGGCCAGCTCCCAGAATACTAGTACATATATTTCCCTTCATATATTTATAGTACTATTTGTCTAATTTAGATGTGGTAAGGGCACTTGGTAATTTCATAAAGAAGGGATGTGAAAGATTTGACAACGGTCAGGGTTTTACCAAAACCACAGTGAGACTGTGGGGGGGAAAAAAATCACTATTCCCAATTGGAAAACACCTGTTTTCTCTGACTTTCGTGACACCACTCCCTAGAGCAGATACCTGCTCTGTAATCATCTTTCTGCACAAATGCCTTGCAAAGAGAAATTAAACTTTTCAGCCCAAATTCCCATTTGTATGTGTCCAGCTTTTTAGCTAACCTCATGTCTAAAAAAGCCTTGAGATGAAACTTTATAGGATAGAAGCAGATGGAAAAAAACCTGGAATCCATAAATTTACCCACCAACAAAAGTACAGTTGCTATAGTTCCTATCAAAGAAATTTTAAAAGAGAATTAGTTCAGATTACTTAGATGTTTTAATTTTATTACTTTTTTCCTTAGTACAAGCTTTAGTTTATCATTAGTGTGTCACGGTAGGGCTGTGAGTACAGAATGAAATGTGAAAAAGTATTTTATAAAATGCAAACTATTTAATTATTTTTGTGGCTCTCACGACTCCTGGAATGTTGTGCTAATGCAGTTCAGCAATATTCTTGTACCTCATATCAGAAAGGATGATCCTAGGAAAAGAAAACCTGGTTCCCAACTTAAGATTCTTATCTGTCACCAATAAAATAGGTGACTTTTTAGGGTACACAGATGGTTTTCAAAGCACAAGAACCTTCATTTCAAAAACTGGAGATATTTTCTTCTTGGCAGCAATTTCTCTCCACGTTACTTGTAGTTATTATGTGCCTACTGTCATTCATTAGAGAAGTGGCCAGTGTTCTCAGACGTGCCACTGGATGGTATGATAGGAAGATGAAGTAGGTATCAGATGGTTTAGAACTCAGCTTTGAAATCTCTGAGTTAGACTAATATGTTTCCTGAACCGCATAATTATTTATTACTGATTGAATAAGCCATCTTGTCTCAGACTTCCTCTTCCATTGACTTGCTGGGCAGCAGAAAGGATGTCCAAGTGGCTAATGGGGTCCCCTCGTGTGATGACCCTATGATAAGTCTAGTTACTCCCTTCACTTGTAGAGACTGTTGCATGCTGCTCTTCAAACCATTTAAAAACAATTATCACACACTATCATTTCTTAGCTGGAGTAATTCCAGGGAGACCAGAAAGATCTCACCACCTGAAAATTTATTATTAAAAAAGTTCATCCCCAAACCTCAGTTCTTCCACTTCACTGCGCACAAAGGCAGATCCAGTGTATTGAATTGGGCAATAGAATAAATTATTTAATAGTAAATGGCATTTCACAGTTCTCTGCTTGCTTACCCCTATAAAATACAAACCGTGCAGGCATAGCTAGAGGCTCCTCTGTCTGGTTAAAGAAGACAACATGGAACAGAAAGCTGGAACTTCTGGCTGATACGTCCATGCACAGCACCAGGTTCGTGGCTGTTTTCCTGTCTTGGGAGTCGGGATGTTTGGAGCCTTCTATTTGTGGAGCTGACTCTGTGATCTTTCGTGAGCCATAGTCAGATTTACAGAGCAAATAAATGAGTTTCAACTTTTACACATTTAGGTAGGTCTCTGGCTTCTCATTTGGGTGCTTTCTGGTCCCTCATTCAAGCTTAGCAATTTCGGAATGAGCTCCTGAACCATTGCTTTATAACGAACTTAACACTGCGCCCTTGGCAAACCCACGACCCCACTGACGTGAGTGCTGATGCTCCGGGAGAGTATCAAAAAAGGCATCTCAGAGGAGGAAAGAGAGGCCGTGTAAATAGTACCTCTGCTACGAATGCAAAGTAGTGTACAGGTAGCACAAATAATTTGGAAAACTCAATGACAGTTACTGCAAATTAGAAAAGATGTGTCCATTCCCATTGACATGGAATCACGTCTAAACAGCCTGACATCTGTCCCGTGTTGCCTTCTCCTTATGTGTGTATTACTGCAATAGCTTCTGATGTTAGAAAAATTAGGACAGAAGGAGAGAATAACCTTTCAATTATAGACCTCTGACATCCAACCCTAAAGACAAACACTGAAACCACGTTTCATTGTTATTTCTGCCAAAAATTGTGTTAAAAACAAAACAACCCAGGGACCAGCCGGTGGCCAACTGGATAAGTGCGCACACTTCCCTTTGGCAGCCCAGAGTTCACCAGTTCGGGTCCTGGGCATGGATCTACACACTGCTCATCAAGCCATGCTGTGACAGCATCCCACATAGAAGAACTAGAATGACTTACAACTAGGATATACGACTATGTACTGGGGCTTTGGGGAGAAAAAAAAAAAAGAGGAAG